ATTATAAAACCCAAAATTTAGTATATTCATTTCTAAAATCCAAATAAACAAATGATCCGTAAATCAATCCTTAGAATCATTAACTTCTTCACTACATTGTTTGAATTCTCTAACACTGGCACTTTAAGAACTGGCCTAGGCATTACATTTACACCTTCAATTTTATGTCTACTCCTTAAAGAGATCGCTCGCATGACATCCCTTTTGTAACATCTCGAACCTTTTCCCGAGCAAGATATTGTCCGCTTTGGGCCTCGCCCCTCACGGTTTTTGACTTGGGGTGCAATTCAAGGTGACTTCCCATAAGGTCACCCATCCTTGTTGTACTCCACACTGAGCACGTTTAACTTCGGATTTCTCACAAGAACTCGTCCATTTCACCCCAAAACGCGTCTTGTTAGTTAAGGTCGGTTTTCTACATATTAACCATAGATCTCTCCCGTGCTTTGTCGATTTGGAATTTGCCTAAGGTGTTACATCCCTCCTTCGAATTTTTTTTCATTTTATAACCATCCCCCTTCGAGTTGAGCTCGGTATTGCCTACAAATGATCCTTACGGTCTCATTGTCAAGGCTTGGGCAATTGTACCAACTTGAGCCTCAAGATTTTGTATGCTTGTTGGTTCGTCTACCCGGATTCCAAAGTTGTAAACTCTTGACTAGAGGACTCCATAAATATTTAAATTTCTAGGTAGCTGTAGACACAAATTGGCATACCAAATCTTATAGCCTTGAAGTTCTTCCTTCGATTTGTTTGGATTTTGAAGAGGAATCCAAATCTTGGCTATTGACCTTATGGTTGAGAAGGTCTATCGTCGTGCACTTGATTAAAACTCTGACCTTGAAATCTTGGTGGCTTCTATTTGGTAGGTGAGGACAAAAAAAATTGGGATGATTCCGCTATCCTAGATTATAGTCACACTATAACCAAAACTACGGTGAAAGAGAAAACAAGTTAAATTCATTGTCCACTAGTTCAATATATTGATTTTTATTCAAGTTTTTGTTTCACGGGCACCAAAACTAGGAAATAAAATCAATTTCATATATTTAGTTATTTCTATTATGTTCTTTCCATAAATCTATATTTTATTTCCTTTCCTTATGTGATTATCCAAATGAAACCTTAGCTCTGTCTTTATTTATTTATATATATATATGGTATTCATGAAATACAAGTATGCATTCAGACGAAGAATTAAAGAAGAAACTAACAATAAGCAGTTGGGCACAATTTATTAGAGAGTATTGATATGGGTTTAAATATGGGAAATCTAGCAATTTTTATTTGTATTTTCTTGACCACTACAACTATAGTTAGTGAGGTTTGTAGTGCCAATAGAGAAGTTCCTGATACCAGCTCATCTTCGTCACCGTTCGTTGGAATCCTTTCATCAATAAAATCACTTCATCGTCAATTAAGCATTGCATGCTGCGACCATGGTTTTGAATTATGTTGTGTTGTTTGTTGTTACGAGACGATCCATCGTAGTAATTCTTCAAATTCTGGGCTAGCATAATTATTATATATAAAGCTAAAGTTTGGTTACTGTTGTCAAACATATTGCAAATTAGTCACTATAATGTACCTTTTACATTTTGATACCCCAAATTTAATTTTAATATAAATTGGTTCAATGTTTAGATTTTACTTGAATCTATGAATCCAATCCACCAATCCTTTTGAACCAATCTATGAATCCAATCCATTATAACATTAAAGTATAAATTTAGTTTATACCATACAAGATGTTATATCAAACTTCTACTAACCACATGTAACAAAATATGCCAGATCTACATAAGCAAGTGTCAATAAATTGCTACGGTGAAAAGGGTTGATTGTTGTATTGACGGCCAACGAAAAGAATTGGTCAAAACCTTTTCATCATCTACTTACTCTTCGTTTCACTTTTTACTTACCTTACATAAACCTTTATTTTTTATTTGCCTTCTTCGTCTAACCGTAATTAATATATTATTTTTATGTATTCTAATAACAAGTATGAACTGGTCCATACACGACTCACCAACAGTCTATAGAATTAACAATTGAACCATAAACCACTAACTTTTTCAGCTCAATGTCGAGTCCAATTAAAAATAAATATATATGATTATTATTACTTATTATAAAGTCATCATTTTCCCCTATGGGATTTGAAGGGATGAAATTTTAAGCGAGTTCCAGTTTGTATTCCTTTTGCTTATGTCTAGAGTTTTTCTTTTTCACCCGGGTTAGAATTTTCAACAATTATAATGGAATGTTTGGCTAGGTCTCCACACATATCAAATAAATAGTTTTTATTTTTCTATAAAAAAAATAAATAATTATCATTTTAAATACATCACCATAAAAGGAATTAAGCCTCATGGTATTCTGCTTCTTCAACGCAAGTACATTGGTGACCTTTTACTCATCTTCCGCTTTGATGATTGTCGACCTGTTTCCACTCCCATGGAATTGAATGTTAAGTTTGGACGTGATCTTGGTCCACCATTATCTGCTGCTAGTACTCGTTCTTATCGGCATATTGTGGGAAGCTTGATATATCTTACCAATACTCGCCCCGATATTGCCGTCCAAATTGTAAGCCAGTTTATGTCTGCCCCCACTGATCTTCACTTGACTGATGTTCACCGTATTCTCCATTATCTTCATGGGACACGAGAGGTCGAGTTGTTTTTACCTAGTACTGACCTCTTGGAGCTTCACGCATTCTCTGATTTGGATTATGTTTGATGTATTGATACTATGAAGTCAACTAATGATTTGTGTGTTCGATTGGGTGACTCATTTATTATCTGGCGCTGTAAGAAGCAATACAGGGTTTCGAAGTCCTCTACAGAAGTTGAGTATCGTGCTATGCTGGATGTTGCATCTGAATTGTAGTGGCTGCATCAGTTATTGGGCGATCTTCACGTGCAGTGTCCTATACCGATGTCTTTGTTTGTGGACAATATGAGTGCGATCCAGATTGCTACTAACCCAATTCTTCATGATCGGACCAAGCATATTTAGGTTCATGTTCACTATATTCGCGATTTAGTCCGGGATGGTATCATTCAGCTCTTCTACTTGTCCTCTGAACAACAAATCGCTGATATGTTCACCAAAACATTCACTAGTGCTCGTCATTGGTTTTTTGGAGGCAAATTGATGATGCGAGACCTCCATAAATTTGGGGGAGGCTGTTAGTGCACATGGATTTGTGTTAGCCCACGATTAATTCATATGTTGAGTTTGGGCTTCGGTCATGTAATTAGTGGCGTAGACCTCAAGTAAACCAAAAGTCAAAAGGAGAAGGACTTGGCTCTCTGTAGCCGAGTAGGTTTGGGAATCCCATTTTGTGGGTTAGAACACTATATATATATGTATGTAAGGTGAACATGAGACGTAACGATTAATAAGATCAGTAGCTGGAGAACTTGGTTCTCTCATTGACTAATCCTGAATTTCAGGGATACCACGTAAAAGTCGGTGTTTTGTTTTAATTATTGCACGTCTCTTATCAAAATTACAAGTCTTAACTTAACACAAGTGGTATCCAAGAATGATTCAAATTACTGGTTTCAATTCAGTCGCATACATATCTCTAATTTTGAGGTATTTTTTTATTTCTCGTGCCTATATATTTTTTAATGAAAAACCCTACATAGTTGATTTTGTTAGGAAAATAGGCCCTATAATATACTAAAAATAGTTGTTAATATTAGCATTATTCTTGCTTAAATCTGCACAATAGAAAATATAATTGAGGATAAAAGATTCAAAGTGATTGCAAAAGACAAAGGATAAAGTTAGATCACTTTGTAATTTTTTATATCAAAATTAGTTTTTGTTTAACTAAGATAACCCAAGAGGGTATGACCGAAAACTAATGTTCAAGACTGCCGAGAAACAATTGCCATCCTTTATTTAATTATTAGAGTTTGTCTATAAAGTTCCTTCATGTGTCGTAACACTTGCAGAATTGTCATCCTTTATTTCATTTTTAGAGTTTTTCTATAAGATTCCTTCGTGTGTCGCAATCCATTCGAATTTGTGGATTACTTATGTAGTGTTGCTTGCCTTGAGTTGCTTGGTTCGGCTTGCAAGTGAACTAAGATATTGATTCGAGATTGATAAGTGAAAAAAAAGAATAACAATATTTCTATGAGAAACTGAGTGGCAGTGGCACTTCAACCAGAAACCCATTTTTGACGGAAGCTTTTGGATTAGAGTAATTCGATGTAATACCTAAAATAACTTTTTTGGACTCTTTTTCATACTGGGAAAATGCTAAAGGAAGTGAACATGATCATCCTCATATTGATACCTAAGGTACAACATGCTGATTCATGGAAGTTGTTTAGGGGTCGTTTGGAAGTTGTGATTCTAGATGAATGATTCTTTGAATTCATGTATTCTGGAGAATCTATCGTTTTTTTTCCCCCAAAATTTTATTCAATACATGCATTTGAGGTGGACCTTCAAATCTCATTTTATCCACAATCACTCATTTTAAATCTCAACAAAAAGGTGAGATTCTTCTTTTGAGATTGTGGGCTTTAATTTGTTCCACTTTTAGCTCATAAAGTTATTTTTTCTTTTCTTTAAATTTTTTGAGTTGCTACAAACAAACGATACATTCTTCCAATCATCTAATTCTTACAATCTTTGTATTTACAATACATCTATTCATCGAATACACATATTTGAAGAATCTCAACCTCCAAATGACCCCTAATTAGACAAATTTCATGCTGCAATGTCGTCTACAAATGGATAACTAAACTGATAGCCCTGAGAATTAGAGAAGTCATGCCTCTTGTTATTAGCCCTAAACAATCAGCTTTTGAAGGGTAGCCTAATCCGTGACAACATAATACTTGCACATGAAAAGGTTAAAAACTATAATAGGAAATTAGTTTCACCAAGATATGATATGAAGATAGATATAATGAAGGCGTTTGATAGTGTGAATTGGGACTACTTGAGGGATGTGATGGAGGTTATGGGCTTAACTGTGCAATTCATTAATTGGATTATGAAGTGTTTGTGTAATGCTTCTTTCTCTGTTTGCTTTAATGGTGGATTAGTTGGAAATTTTCAAGCAAAAAAGGGATGAGACAAGAGAATCCTATCTCCCCCTATCACTTTGCAATGGCAATGGAGGCCTTATCATATATGCTTAACAAAGCTGCTGCAAGAGGTGTTCTGCCTTATCATTCGCAATGTGGAAAAGTTGGTTTAACCCATTTGAGCTTCGTTGATGACCTACTTATTTTCACAATGAATCAGAAAAGGGGGTGAAGGTAGTAGTTGGGATTTTCGAGCATTTTTATAGAGCTTCTGGCTTGAAATGTAGGCCTAGCAAGAGTGGAATATATTGTGTTGGGGTTAGTGAGGAGGTTAAAGAGATGTTAGTAAGGGGTTCTAGATTCAAGGCAGGCTTATTACTAGTGCGCTATCTAGGAGTGCCTTTGGTTGCAGGGAATTTGAGAGTAACTGATTGTAAACAACTGATTAATAGAATTACAAAACGTATTCATGTAGGCAAGCTCATCTGTTATCTTATGTTGGGAGGATCCAACTCATTATCTCGGCCCTCGCAAGTATCACTCAATTCTGGTTAAATGTCTTTCAACTGTCCTAAGAAAGTTATTAAAGAGATTGATTGGTTGTATTCTGATTTTCTCAGGAAAATTGGTGATGGAACTAAAAAAGCTAAGGTTACCTGGGCTATGATTTTCCTCCCAATAGAAGAGGGTGGTCTTGGTTTCAAGGATCTATAATCCTGGAATCATGCTTGCTTGATCATGCATTTATGGGCAGTGCTTAATAATGAGAAAACCTTATGGATAGCCTTACTTAAAGAATATAGACTGAGGAATCTTAGGATATGGGATGTGCAAACTAGGGGATCATGGTTGTTGGACAAAGTAATGAAAATAAGGGTTAAAGCTAGGTGGAAGCTGAATCTGCAGAACATAGGGGTATGCTGGAAATATGTCTATCTCCCTAAGTATAAAATTTAAGTGGTGTGGGAATCCATTCGAGCCAAGAAACCCTCACTCCCTTGGTACATATTCATCTGGAAAGCACATTCAATGCCTAGGAATTCTCTGCTATTTGACTTGTCTGCTTAGATCGGATTGTTACTATAGGTGTCAATCGTGCGGGTTCGGATGGGTTCAATCGGGTTGCGGGCTAGTTGGGTTTCGGATTCATTGGGGTACGGGTTAGTCGGGTTGCGGGTTCATCCAGTTCGTGTTCAATCTGGTTGCGACAAATCGGGTTGCGGGTTCATCAGGTTTTGGATAAGGCAGGTTGAGGGCGGATCGAGTTGCAAGTTGATCGGGTCAGCGCATCGAGTAACTTACTCGTTACTCGTTACCAACTTACACATTTTATTACACTAATTTAAAATATTTTTCTCAATTTTTAACCAATTTCTTTCTACCTTGTATATATACTTAATTTAAAATAAAAACTAGTCAAAATGTTGAATCAATTTGTATGGTAAAATTAGAATCGTAATTTTACCTAAAATTGAAAATGAGATAATATCAGAATCGTAGATTAAAATCATAAAATCATAAGATTTGAAGGTTCATATTAAAATAAACGCTTAAAAAACCAGATAGTAATAACAATGCATATCCTGAATAACAGTCAATCACATATAACCTAATTACTTTCCAAGATAAGTTTTTTTTTTCGGTAAGTTGACTTTACCATTAAGCACTCCCTTGGCTAAACACATCACAAGAGCTCGAAAAATACATTGGCAACCGCCCACAATAGTCCTTTACAAGGAATCCCCAATAGAAAACAAACATCTATTCAGTTAAACATTTACAGCAGGTTTGGGTTTTTCTCAATTGAATCTGAAACTCAGGATGAGCCACAACAAACAGCTTGATTTCCTCCCTTAATTGCTCAGCCAACACTACAATAGCACGAGGTTGTTCTCCAAATATCCTTCGACACCTCTCTTTCCACACTACAATAGCACGAGGTTGTTCTCCAAATATCCTTCGACACCTCTCTTTCCACACAACACAGATGCACCAACACCATATTGATGCTTCAATCTCCCCACAACTCCCATTCTTCCTAAATCTGGCTTCAATACTCTCCAGCAGGTCAAACCAACTCCCGGGAAGCACAACCCCCTCTCGCAGCAGAGTAACAATCATCTCCTGCATATAAACACACTGACAGAACAAGTGATCACGAGACTCCTCTGCTGCTCTACAAAACACACAGGTACTATCATTGATAACGCCCCACATTTTGAGTTTGTCCCTTGTAGCAATTCTGTTAATCATAATCAACCAGACCTGCACACTGTTTTGAGGTAAGACAAACTTATTCCAAACGACTCTCCACCAACTTACTCTAGGCTGCCTCCTTCTGATAGTGTCCCATACAGTTGAGACTGAATATTTTTCCAAACGCTTACCCAGCCATGTCACACAGTCTTGGGCCACGTCCATTCTAAATCGCAGTCATGGTCCGACTTCCAAAATTTGCTTCCAGATCGAGGAACCAGATGATGTAAGCTTTGCTTCCCAGATTGAGACTCCCCTGAGTCTATACTGATAAATCCAGGCTTCCCAAAAGCTACTCCTCTGAAAAAGAAGCAGACATATAAGGCGAGCCAGAGAAGCTACATTCCAAGAAATCAAATCCTTCAGCCCCAGCCCCCCTTCTTTCTTCAGTATAGCAAGAAAATCCCAAGCAACTTTGGCTCTTCCCGACTTATCCCCATGCCAGAAAAAATCTGAACATATTTTCTGTATACTTCTCAGCACCTTCTTTGGTATAAGGAAGATAGCCATCCAATAGTGAATCAAGGAGTACAAGACAGACTCTACTAACTGAAGCTTCCCAGCATAAGACAATCTACTAGCTCTCCAGCTTCTAACTCTGCTAGTGACCTAATCAATCAATACTGAACATTCCCTGCTAGACAACTTACCAGCAAGAAGAGGCAGGCCAAGATACCTCATTAGCAAAGTCCCTTCATTGATCCCAGATATTCTAAGTGCATTCAGTTTGAATTTATGCGCATAACCCCCAAAGAAAACCTCACACTTATCAGGATTACATTGCTAAATAAAATCCATATATTTATTCTTGAACATAACATAGACACACAAATAAGCAACCTCAAACCTCATAAAAATCACTTAATTTAGTTAATAGTTAAGATTATAAATCACATAAGATCGTTAGCTTAGGATCAACATTAATATCCCTCACACATCATCCTCACCCTCAACTCATCCTCGTAGAATCCTTGTCTAATCACTTGAAGTACTTTCACCATTAACCATATTTCCTTGAGCACCATCATCTCGAAAAGGTAACTCATCGATTTATGCATTCCCCTCTTAACCGCTAAAAGGTTGGGAATAGTGATGTTGAAGGATTGGTTGATGAACGAAAGCTTGCTATGAAATGGAGATTGAGATAATTGTGAGAGTGGTAGGAACAAATTACGAGCTAATTTGGGGTGGAAGAAATCGTTGTTGGAAAGAGTTGTACGTCGACATGCGGAAGAGGAAGATGTAAACTCACTTCCGGGCCAAATATATAACAAAATATGTATACTTAGAAAAGGAATTAAAATAAATTAAAATCTACAAAATATATAATGGCAAAATATGTGTTGGATTTTCAGGGATTTGAAAATGGAGGCATGAGAGTGATTCACGGATGGGCTTTCTTGTCATTTTACATTCACCAAATAAAATGATGCTATTCGTTTTGTTGTTCATTGCTCAATTCTGACTCCAGCATATGGCTATTGTATGACCCAATTAGGTTAGATGGGCTTCACATTCATTCATGCAACTATCCAAGTTCTCGGTGAACGCTCATATCCAAACTACAACTCTAGCACATCCATCCCAATTAAAACGCATGCAGATCTCAATCAAGAAAAATATCTCTCAAACATCAAGCCTGAAATTCTTACAATCAGCAAGCAGTCAAGCTCCCACCAACCAACAATTTGTCAAGATCTAAAGCCCACCTTATAATTTTTTGCCAAGCCAAAAAACAACGAAAGATGAACAAGATAGATAGAACGGACCCAAAATGAAATTTCACAAACTATCAAACTACTTCACTCAGTTAGAGGAATGAGCGGCTATCAGTGCGCTAGGCTTCAAGTTCTTAGTTTCACACTGCCAACTGTGAATGGAGAAGAAGAATTTTGAAGACAAAGTTGAAAAAGAAATTGGGAGGTTTCTAGATTTTTTCCGATTCCGGACAGTGGGAAGAATTGAGAATTAGAAAGCTTTTTTGTCTTTTCTTTTCTTGCTTCCATTTTATCTAATTTTATTTGATAACCTCCATTTTATCTAATTAGAAAGAGCAAGAAGTAGAAAAATAGAAGGAAGAAGAAGAAATTAGAGAGAGAGGTTGGGCGGCTGACCTTGATGAGAAATCACAATGGGAGGGCTTATATGGGTCTGGCCACATCAATATGACCAAATTAGCCTCCTTTATTGTCAGAAATAACTGCTAAAAACAATTTATAAAAATTAAGTTTTAAATGCAGCTGACGCGGGAGCTCAAATAGAATGCTTTATATTCCATTACAAGTGTACAACTATTCTACCACTTAAACTACTACCAGAAATTTTGATCATTCAATTGGAAAATCATAATTTTGTTCCTTCAACATAGTCCATCTTATATATTCAATCGCCAAAATCAATTAATATAACTAATATCATATCACATTTTAATTGCGGTCTTAAGATTGAGTTTTCATGTTCTCACTCTTATTCGTGAATTGGTTTTCTAAGATAAAAATTAGGCATTTAATTATAATTTCCCTCTGCCTTTCTTAACTGGGTATTTATTTTAGTAGGATGACAATGACACTTGTGTTATGAAACTAATAAAATATAAACAACTACAAGAGAAGATTAGAGAGGAAAAGACACAAGAGAAGAGAGGGGAATAGTTCTTCTTATTCATTCTTCACTTTTGATACAATGGTGTGCTATATTTATAGGCACACTTTGGTAACCACTACATCCTTATATCAATGCATATGAATGAGAGATAATTATGTAGAAATAGGGGTTACATGTAACTCCCAAGTGAGCATCTAATGTGGTAGGTTATTGGTGATCCATATATCAATATTTACATAATACTCCCCCTTGGATGACCACTAGATTGCATTACGCTATATCATATTGCCTCATTAAAAACCTTACCAGGAAAACCCATTGGGAAAAAACCATGGTTAAGGGAAAAAGAGTGCAGTGCGTATATGCTCCCCCTCATGACCACATCACTTCAGATTATTGAGTCGTTGAACTCAAATTTCACGAACAACTTTTAGAAAGATTGTTGTCGGGAGTGAGTTAGTGAACAATCTTCTAGATTGTCAATTTGATGCATGATCTTTAGATTTTCTTCATACATGATCGTCAGGATCATTTCATTTGAAAATAGTTCACAACCACAAGTACTTGAGATATGGTGGATCACAAAGTAACGAAAGACATTCGGGACTTGCCCATTATAGTTTGTTTTGTTTCTTTATGAAACATTTATATCACCATATGTAAGAGATAGCTCGTCTCCGATCAACCAATATAAGGATCAAATGATATATAGGATTTGGATATATAGTTTACCAAATCTCTCTTTGATAATACCATAATAGAACAATCTCATATATTGTTCCTGGAGATAACAAAGTATTTTCCAACGTTCTAATGAGGAAAACATTGTATCTTGCGAATATTATCAACACCAAAATGATAGTTTATATGGTGCTTGGTAGGGGTGGGCATGCGGTTCGGTTTTACCGAACCGAACCGAACCGAACCGAGCAAGAACCGACCGAAACCGAACTTTTCCTTGTTAGGTTCGGCGTTCGGATGCGAATTGCCAACAATTCGGGAACCAACTTCGTTTAAACCGAACCGAAAAACCGAAAAACCGACCGAATTACCGAAATTAAAAGGCCCAACCCAATGATCCATTAACCCAACCCTGGAAAGACTTCAGCAGGCCAGGCCTACTACCCACCCAACCCAAGCCCAACCTCCTTACCCCAAACCCCTAAGTAAAACCCAATTGGAAGCCCACAGTTGGAGAAAACCCTAAGGATTCCACTTCCTTCCTTCACTTCTTTGAGTCTGAGAGTCAGAGACGAGAGACTGAAACCCGCCAACCCTTCTCACTTCCTTCCCTCCGCCACCGCAGCCTCCTCCACTCTCGAAGCAGTAGCCGCCGCAGCCGCCAGCAAGCGCCCAGCAGCGGCGACGCTCGACGGCCTCTCCCCGACGGCGTTTCGCCGTTTCCCCGACGGCGCCCCAACCCAAGGCCTCTCCGGCTCTCCCTCCCCTAGACCCCGACCCTCGACAGTCGAATCGAGATCGACCTCTCCCACTCCCAAGTCCCACCCTCCATCTCTCTCTCCCAGAAAAAACTCAGCAGGTCATCAAACAGGTTTTTCGGTTCTGCCTGGGAAAACCGAACCGAACCGATCTATAATTCGGTTCGGTTGAACCGAACCGAATTATAGACCGGTTCGAATTCGGTAGCAGTGTGTGGCGTTTCGGAAATTCGGCATATCCCATTTCGGTTCGGTTCAAACCGAACCGACCGAACGCCCACCCCTAGTGCTTGGCTAGCAAGGTGCATTGGTGCTCTAATGCATCAACATATGGTACTTCAGGACCTAATGTTTCACTTCTTTTTTGATTTCTAAATGGATCTTTGGTCACTTCTAGTGATCTTAGGATCCTAATGTTATTTGATGAACACAATTTGTTCATGCAAAATTACTTTCCCACTTTTTCAACATTACCTTCCTTGCCCATAAAAAGGATCTTAAATCGTTCAATTTAACTTATGTCTCGAAGCAATCAACTGCTTTAGAAAGCTCTTCAGGAGATCCAATAATAGTCATAACATTAACATAATATGAGATCGTAAAAAAAAACCTTAACTAACACAAATTGATGCAAGCAATTCTTTCATATAACGAAATATAATAACAAAACTCACATCATAGAAACATATGAACTAGACAAAGCACAGTCATAAAACACAACTCATACTTTAAAGTAAAACACAACTCATAAACCAAGATTTTAAAATCCTTGAAGCACATACAAACAACACAACTATATATGCACAATGCAAATGCTCTAATGCACTCTATCCGGATTTAACCTCTTAAGGTCCATTCACCCCACTGTGTAGGTGTTCACTTAGACGAGTATTTCACATTCGTCTATATTTTCTCAACCCATGCAGGGGATATTCTTAGTCTATCATTATATGTTCTCGAGAACTTTACTTGTTTACTTCAGGTAAATTAATCCTTCTAGGAGTAATTAATCCTTCTGGGAGTTTCAAATATATTTAACATCTTCGGGGAATTCAAACAAATAGGCTATCACAACAATTTTCAAACATTGATTTGAAAAAGTAGTTGCACCCACCACAGGGGAGTATAACTCCTCTTAAACAATGATAGGTCTTTTCGAGAAACCCATTGCAAAACATTGTGCGATAT